AAGGAAACGGTTTTATAGAAGTCATATTATGCTTTTTGGCTTTTCCCCTTTTCTATATTTTGTTATTATGGGTCTCAAGGAGCCCTGCGATGGACTGGCGACCTGTCCAGGGTGTACCCCGCCTTGCGCCCAATGTCAGCTGAGATTGGCTCCAGCCACCCCGCGACCCTGTATGCAGGATAAGCGGTTGACGATGGATGAATGGATGGATGGGTCTCAAGGAAGGTAGTCAGTTGGACTGCTATTATTTTTTGTAGAGTTTAGTAGAGTTTAGAAATAAGCCTATAGTTCTTAAGGTCGGATGGGTCCAGGTTAGACTTTTTAAGTACTGGTTCAATGATTGCATGCTTAAAAGAGGTAGGGACCATGCCACTCAGGGTGGGGGTGTCACTGAGAGCAGGATTGGAAGGAGTTTGGGAGACATTTGCCCTGATATCTGCAATCCTATTTACAAAGAAATTTAGAAACTCATTGCTGTCAGTTTTACAAAATACAGCAGCTTCAGGGATAGATGGGGAAACAATAGTATCAGTGGTGTCAAACAACATTTTGGGGGTTTTCTTATTTATCGCTATTATGTGGGAGAAGTACTGGGTTCTTGTGTTCGTCAGCAGTTCATTTAGTGAAGCGATTTGGTCCTTGAGGTGTAGTCTATGAACCTCAAGTTTCGATGTTTTCCATAGACGTTCCACCTTGCGACAGTTTCTCCTCATTAATTGTATGGATTCGTTCATCCAAGGGCAATGCTTTTTGTGAACAATCTTGGTAGGTGTGATAGGTGCCACTTTATCTAAAATGTCTATGCATTGGTTGTTAAAAGAGTCAATAAAAACGTCCACATCGAGGCATCCCAACAACATACCGGGTTCAAACAAGACAGTGAACTTCTCGGTGACATCCTTATTTATGATACGTCTTTGGGCCCTGGGTCTCAGGGGCAACGGGTCCAATGGGAAGTTAAGATGAAAGAATACACAACTGTGGTCACTCACATGTACATCCTCCACACAGACATTACCTATCTGGAGGCCAAGTGAGAAAACTAGGTCCAGGGTGTGGCCCTTAATATGTGTGGGCCCTGAGACATGTTGAATAAAGTTAAAAGCATGTGTTACAAGCTGTGTTACATATGACATTGTCGACATTTAAAATCTCCAACTATTAGAACCCTCTCTAGTTTAATTATAGTGGATAAGAAGTTGTTGAAGTCCGTGAGGAAGGCACCTGCGGGGTCAGGGGGACAGTAAACTAGCACACAGTAAAACATATCCTTTGAACCTATTTTAATTATCTGTGACTCAAAAGAGGGGAACTTTCAGAACAAATTGTTCTGCATAGGAATCTGTCCCGATACAAAGCGGCAAGACCTCCACCACGACGTGCCAGTCGGGGCTTCCCAATGATAGGGCAGCCTGCTGGACAGTTCTTTTAAGTGGACAAAATCCTTGTCTCTTTGCCACATTTCAGTAAGGAACATGAAATCCATGTTCTCCCTGGTAAACAGCTCATTTAGAACATGTGATTTATCAGAGATGGAACGTGCGTTGAGCAGAGCAATGTGAAGTGGTGGTTCCTGGCTTGCAACCTCTGAAGGTGGTTGAGGTGGGATTTGCCATAGGCACCTTATATGATTTGTTGGTCCCCAGCTGCATCTACTGGTCACTCGCGGGTCATACTGGGCAGAGGCAGACCCATACAATGACGTGTTCCCGTCAGCACAACGCAGGGACAGGAACGATTCCCGACCAATAGGCGGGCAGAACAGGTGGTGAGGTATCAGGGGAGGGTGACCACTCGTGTTGTGGAGTGAGATAGGCTGTAAACATTGGGTCCACTCAACGTGATGTGGCCCAGACGTGTTTTTGTCGACTCTCTGCAGCCCTCGATCGCTTCTTAGGACGACCAGAGCCCCGGCTCGTAAACAGGACCTGGTTCTCAGGTGAGGAGGGCGGGCATGTACAGTAAATGGAGGCGGGAATGAATGTTTGTAGCTATCCCGGCTATCAAGAAGACTTTCCATACACACTCTGATGTTCAACAGCGTGTGCCGATCGTAAGTCCAAGCAGCTGAGGCGTAGGCGTAGGATGGCAACACAAATGACGAATGCAAACAACAAAAAAATCGCCGGAGATGCAGGGGAGCAGCGGCCACGCCAAACACAGGCGCCATCTTACTTCTCTCCACAATCAGTTCCACTTAACAGCACCAATGCTCACCTAGCGGCTAGTGTGGCACGCCCTCAAAAACACTGGTGGAGAAACACACTGAGTTGCAGCACACACAGTGACAAGACGTCCACTCGCTGCCTCCCCTCACCCTCCAGGGTCAATGGACATACATTTATTGCTGTGATGTAGAGACAGTGCACAGTTAAAATGTTACATCTGAAAGATCAATTTGTTACAAATTAATAACATGAACATATACGGTGTCAGAACCAAAGCCGTGGTAACCGGCTGAATAGAAGTGATATGCTTCACTCAGTAGCTAAAACGCAGCGGTCAACACACAGGGTGAAATGAGGTGCTGCAGCAATGTGCAGTATGAAATAAAAATATGGTGGTTTTTGAAAATTAAACCATGTAAACCTGTTCTGGTACAACCCCTAAATAAAATTAAGAACCTGAAAACGAGCATAATATGACCTCGTTAAGAGAGTTTCTTCAAAATGTAAAAGTCCAGTCATTTGATGTTATCATTTGCGCTAATTTTAAAGAAATTATGTAGAAACTAAACCACATAATAATACTAATACTAATGATAATGATAATAATAATGATAATGACAGACCACAGCCATATAATTATGAGCCTGCTACTCGTCTAATAGACCAGGAACAGACAGGAATTAGGAGAACTAAAGGCCACAGGCAGATTGATTAATCATTTGATTTACTATACAATTAGAATAAAAGCCTCGTTGACCAAGGTAATAAAGTACATATTGATGCTGAGTGTTCAGCAGTCATCTAAATCCAGAAGTCACTGCTTTTATTTACGTATCAGCAAAGACTTGATCTCAAGAGGTGTCTCACCCACATATCCATCCATCCCAGTGTTTGTCTCCAATAGCCAAGAGATAACCATATCTCTGTGGTGGTTTTAAGACCTGATCAATACAAATAACTTGATTGTTACCTTGGCAGGTACTTTTTCCTACATTCTGTTTTCACAAAATTTCATTTTTGTTTTGCTGTAAACTGAAGCAGTGCCAGACATCTGGCTGTTAATTGCAAATCAAATTAGTTGTAAATCCTTTGTCACACCTTAAATTTGATCGAGTCATAATTTCACACTTGTAAATCATTTTTTTTATGTACTTTCAGTTGCACATTGTGAGCACAATGAAATATGGGAACATTCAACCCTGTCCAGTATATATATGCTCTAACCATGTACAAATCACAGTCTGTAATTTGCATTTGAAGGGTGAAAATGTAACAAAACAAATTTACAAATGAATTAGAATAAGGGTCATTCTGCATCTCAAAGTTGGTCAGTAGTCTTTAAAACGAGTGTAATTTATTTGCTTGGAAAAACAGGTTTTTAATTTGCAGCTCACTCTCACTGTAGGGGCCCATTTTCTCAGTCATCAAAACGTGTCATGTTTCAGGTTTACCCATATGGATCAAAAGCAGATGAATGAAAATGGGCAGCTGAAATAACAACCCATTGTTTAGAACAGATTTAGAGGTACATGAAGAAGTGATGCTACTTTTTGCAGTTTCTACATGAAAGATCACGGTGTGCCTTCATCTCTCATGTAAGAAATGCAATTTGAGCCGCTCCCTTTATAGGCAGGCTGAGGCATGCTTAGAAAGTTTTTTGAATTGGATCCTGTTCTTTGCCTGTTTGTACAAGTGAGATGTTTGATGACTAACAAACTTATGGGAACTGGAAATGTGGAAAGCCCCAGTGAATAATGAATGAAGCACCTTGACTGATGGACATTAAAACATATCTCCCTCCATCAAGTCCTTGGATCAATAAGCAAAACATTAATGATTACTTTTATGAACCATAGAAATAGTTTGCACTGCAACAATAAATAATTTTAAAAGTTGAAACATAAACCACAACAGGGAATATGTTGAGACGAACCTAGATACTTAAATATAAGTGACTGTGAGGTCAAGATGTCATGTAAAAAAGTTTTATTACATTTTTCAACAGAATGTAAAATAATTTTGATTAGTCAATTATTTATATATTAAACATTTCTGAACAGGAAAAAAACAAAACAAAAAAAAAAAGTGTCCCATCATCACGCAACCTAGCCAAACCCTCTCATGGGCTGATGTCAGCAGCCGCTCTAAATCACCACTCACTCCCATACATCAGCCTGAGAAATGCAGTACTATTGCATTGTAGCTATTTCAACCTGAGCTCAACAACCCTTCGATATCATGCATTAGCTAACGAGCCAACACTGACTCAGACGTCCTGCAGAAATAAATTAACTGACGGCGTTTCTGGAGGTCCTGGATTGAATGACCCTGCCAACTTAATGACATCGCACACACACGCATACACACACAAAAAAAGTATTACTTAAAGCTAGGCACCTATTTCGAGGTGGAAAAGGTGTATGAGGCCTAATTAAGACAAAAGATTAATTTGAGATTAACGTACCATCCGTGATTTAAAAAGTGAATGAATTATAAATAGGCATTAGAGTTAGGAATCAAAGACCAGGACAGATTAAGAACCCAAAACTGTGTAAAAAAAAAACAAAAAACAACAAAAGAACATTATATGAATTGGCAGTAACCAGACACGCTAGTTATTTCAATAACTTGAAAATACAAAAAAAAATTAAAATGGGGAAAGTTCCTCCAGCAGATACTTAGATGATAGACAGTAATGCACTTGTCCATGTGGAGTAGACCAGCTTGCAAATTGATCATGAAGTAGCTCCAGACATTGGGTGGCAGATTGGCTTTGAACATGCCATCCTGTAGCTAAAGAGTCACAGATTCAGTTTCTGCAGTAAGACGCCGAACCGTCATCTGCTCATTTATTGTAGTTCTCTGTGGAAAAACAGCTTAATGGCTTCAGTGTAAATTTGACTTTTTTTTCCTCATAATATTAAACAGCCATTCTGTTGCACATACATATGTCAGCCTCAGTTATGAAGTGAGAAAAAAAAAGTTAGTAATAAATGCTGAAGTTGCTAGCCAGCTGTGACAGGCATAGCTAGTGTAAACTGTTTATCATTTTGTGTATTTAGTGAAGCTTTTTGACTGCTGCACTATGAAGTACTTCATAACAATAATCAAGATTTCATTCATGCTGTAATTTAGAAAACAAGGGTTTTGGGAGAGACATTCAGAAACTGCTGTCCTCTCTCTGACTGCAATATGACCTCATCAGCTGAGTGAGGTGGTTTAAAAAAAGAACAGATACTCAGAGTTCAAAATTGGACATCCCTCTGGCTGAAAAGGAGGCAGCCCTCAGTGTCAGTAGTGCCCCCAAAAGAGTTACAGTAAGAGGCAACCTCACATAATCCACATGTTTGTGGGGATCCTTGTGTGAGACACCGATGGCAATGTCTTTATATAAGAACTTTGCAGTGAACACCCTGTCCATTTTCTGGGGCACAGTGAGCTCTGGTGGCCTTCTGTGGAAAAGCAGCAGCAGCAGCGGTGGCAGCGGCGGTGCCGTCGCTACCTGGATGTATCAGGGAGAAGTCTCTTAAACCAGCGGCCCACGGCCACGTCTACTCTCAGCACTAATGTGACCCCGAGCAGCAGAGATGCGCTGCCCACCAGGAACCCTGAGGCCTCAAACATTAACCTGGAAGGAGAAAACAGGGGACTGATTAGAATTTAAAATCACCTCCAATGAGCTTTGTACTAATAATGGCTGTGCAATACACCTACATAACAATATGATGATATAGTACATCTTAACTAGATAATAAGCAATTACCAATCATACAATGCAGCTCCAAGACTACATTTCTGTAACATATTTATTCAAAATACTTATCTATAAATCTTTTGCACAATTAAAATTATTTGGACAAAATCTTTCAGAAAAAAAAGAAAGAAAACAACACTGCACCTTCACAAGCATTCACTAAAATTCACTGGACTGGGAATAACATGCACAATAACATTAATAAAAATAAAAGAAGGAATTGCTCCTTTGAGATAAGCAGCTGAAATATGTCATTTTGGCAGTTACAGCATGTCCATATCCTCAGAAGCCTTTACTGTTAGTGAGTTTGTGTGAGCTGGAAAATCCATTCAGGCACTTACTTGGGTGCAAAAACCTTCCACACCATTAGGTGTCTCCTGAGGATAGCAGCTGCACAGACTGAAGCAAAGAGCTGTGAAGAGATGCACAGATACTGACTGGTGTGATACACAATGGGGGGGAAATGAACAAAAGAAAGAACAATAAAATAAAACACTAAAAAGGGACTTAATCCCAGGTCATAGGTTCCTGAATTAAAACAAATGTTTCAGATTGGTGACCAAACAAACAGTTCACAGACGATCATTTTGTGACTCTAATGTGTGCATCTGCACAGACCGAAACAAACGACGTACCTGTGCTCCGTTGATAAAGAGGTAGCGTGTGGCGAGCTGTAGAAGAGCAGAGCTGAACTGCTGGGGGTTTTCTCTCAGTCTCATCTCCATCACAGCGTCCTCTCCTTCGTCCCCGCATGCTCTTCCTCCCTTGCTTCCGCGCACCTCACACACCAGGGGCCAGAACAGCAGAAACGGACAACCCACTGAAGACAACAAAGACATGGACACGGATACAAATCAGTGAGCAACATGTTGGTGGATTCACATCAACTCTATACATTTGCTGCTTTGTTTGATTTCCTTTCTTTTTAGATTAATTCCATTTGCTCTCAAGTTTTTATATTTCCACAGCGCACCGTCTACTTTTCTTTGGTGGGTTTTCTGGTTATAACAAAAAATGAAGAAGAAGTGGTACTTAACTTAAGATCTCTGGTGTAACAAACCCATGCTTTACCAGCTGAGCTGAACTCAGTGCTGCAGTCGCCGTGCAGGTTCACTGAGAATTTACACAGCTGTGGTGCATGATAGCACGCTCTGTTTGTTTACGCTCCTGGGGACCAACCATCAGATTAAACCTTTTACGCAAATAGACCTCTAATGTTCCCAAATACTGCACTTTAATGTCCCCTTTAATAGATTTTAAACATTGATGGGACAGTATTTATCATAACACTTAAACCCACGATGCCAAGCTTGCACCCTTACACCCAACAGAAAATCTTCATCATTTCTGTAAGTGTCAAAGTTAAATTCTTAACTTGATCTTGACCTCTTCTTACAAATATGTTCTCTCATTTGTATTTTACAATGACATTTAATGGTTCAATGTGTTACATTTATATTATGCTAAGAGACTAATAAAATAATACTTTTAGAACATTGTATTTTATTTAGATTTAAAAAAAAAATCTAATTTATTTTAAATATTTAATCTTTTATATTGCTTATTGTATATTCTAATTATTTATTATATAATATCCTTAACAGCCTAATTTCCCTAAAAAGGACCATGATTTTTTAATCATATTTTTTAATCATATTAAACTTACTAATCCACTTATTGCTTCTACAATATTAATAACTACCTGCGAACAAGATGTGTGAGGCAAAAGTGTTGAGGGTAACCAGCGAGGCGGGCAGTATGGTGCCTGTGTGCCCATCAGGGAATCCCACGAAGGCAGCGCCCCACTGGATGGAGGGGAAGGTAGGAAGGTGACCTGTGGCGTGGAAGAACTGGGTGGCAGCCAGGGACCACAGCACTACTGGTGTCCAGGGCACATTAAAGCCACCTGAGGGAAACAATGAGAGGTGGCTGAGCATTGCAGATTTGTTTGTTTTGTTAGATAGACCACATCATAAGAGACAAACCACAAGTGAAAAGATGTGTGATTCTGAGACTCTCACCAGAATATGAATCATTCAGGCCACTGAGGGTAGTGGAGGAAGCGTGAATGTGCAACAGAGCTCCCATTTCAAGCAGCAGCAGGAGGAAAGACAAAGCCATGCCCTCTGGGTGCAGCAGCAGCAGACCAATTCCCAGCAGGCCACAGAACAGCAGCAAAGGGGCAGAGTACACAGTTCCCAGTCCGTAGGCCTTCACAGCGGGCGTGTTGTCCACCTCACCACTCCCGCTCAGCTCTCCGTCGTCCAGGGAACGGCGCATGCGCTGGTAGATCTGGGGGATGAGGTGGTGCAGCTCAGCTTGGGGGCTGATGCCGGTGCTCGCTCGGTAGCTGGGCGGGGGTAGAGACGAACTTCGGGATGACGCTCCGGACCTGGGCTTCATGAAAACAGTAAGAGGATCTAGCCAGATCAGGAACAGCCCAAGTCCCAGGAGACAGAAGGCGGCCCTGGGGAGGGCCAGCTGGGCCAGGCTGATCAGCTCGGCTAGGTTCCTAAAGCTGTCCTCTGAGGTGGCACTAACAGCCCAGTGCAGCCCCAGGCACACAGACAGCAGTGGGAGGATCCAGCGGGCCGTGAACACCGTCCCACCTGAGGAGTTGAGGTTACCGTAGTGGCGGAGGCAGCGTCTTAGCAGATATGTCCACAAGCCCAGGGAGAAGACAGAGAGGACATAGTGGAGGTTCTTCAGCTGGCTGTCCTGCAACCGGGAAAGAGGAGACAGGAACGGGGAAGGCTGGCAGGAGCCCTGTTCTTCCCGACAGCCGTGGAAGGAGAGGGAGAGGTAGAGGCCGCCAACAAGAAGTCCTAAGCAGGCTAGCAGGGTGCTGCTTTCTTTCCTCACAGTCGATGGGGACAGGGTTGCGGAGGGCAGGAGTCCTGCAGGCTTCAGAGGGTCGTGGCTTGAAGGGAGGAGCAGGCCATCCCAGTTGAGATGGATGGGAATACAGAGAGCCAGAGAGAACAGCAGAAAGGTCACTGCACGGCCTTCAGCGATCACGTAGCTATCTGAGAGCAGGGAGGCACAGCGGAGGAGCAGCACCAAAATGGGGGGGGCGAGGAGGCGGCATGGAGTCAGCCAGCTGGCACACTTGAGAGCTTTAGAACCGTTCTTTGCCACAGTAATGATTCTGGATTGACGAGCCCTCCAGAGAAAGAGAAGTTCAGAGCTGAGGGCAGCAGCTGCCAGGCACCACGCTACCTCCATGTAGCCCTGTGTGAGCAACTGACCAGCAGCCATGCAAACCCCCGCTGTCAGCGCCACGATAACCGGGGCCTTCAGTCCGGGACCTGTCTCCCTGATCAGCACAAGGGACAGCTCAGACAGGACGAAACACATCAGGCAGGCAAACGCCAGGATGGCTAAACCTGCCACCATCTTGAGTGGGTTGAAGCGAGCCCAGGTAGCTCGACAGGTGTCTCTGACGGAGGTGAGGTAGGCCTGCAGGGAGGCGGCCAGCTGCGGGGAGGGTGACCTACCCTCTCGAATCATGGTGAGGTACTCAGAGGAGAGGCGGGAGAATTCATCTTTCAGCTGAGAGAGGCTCTGTGGTGGGATGTCTTTGGCCATTCCAGAGTACGTCTCCAGGAAACGGTTGACCTTTAGAAACACAATGATCACAGGAGGAGACATTATATGCACAGAAAGAAACAAAAATACACACAATTACTGAACGTGCTCCAGGATATATCAAGTTTGAGGTTGTTCTTGTGTGAGGACATAAAAAACACTGAAAAAAAAAAACCCATTGTGGTAGACAGCTCCTAACTGAGCAGAGTACCTGTTTTGCGTTGATCCACAGTGCCTCCAGCTGGCTGAGACCTCTAACTGCGCCCTCTGTCTGCCCCGTGAGGAGGGAATAAAGGCAAGAGCACCTGCCCCACACTGCTGTACGGGATGGGAACTCCAAGCAGCAGAGCCAGGGTGGGCACCAGGTCTGTCTGGGGCACCACATCTGGATCACTCTTCAAACATGAGAAAACAAAAGTCTACTGTGTTAAATCACTACTGCATTTATCTGCGATTTAAAGGGCTGCTCTGACATTTTAGAAGATCCTCTGTGTAATGAGAACACTTCAACAGAGTGTAACCTTTGAAAAAAGGAATAAGTCAGTCTTCTTCTTACAATGAAAGGTTCATTTATAAGCAATAAAAATAACCCTTTTGGCACTAAAGCCCTACTTGGTCAGGTAGGACCTGTCGGTCATGATGGCATGGCTAGCCGGACCGCTATGTAAAAGCATACACAGTTGTGGGATTATGCTAAAATATTTTGTTTAGTATGAATGAGCGAATGAGGCATTTTGACATTCTTTAATATTTATTTGATCTGTGTGTGAAAGCGGCTGACTGTATTTTATTTTGCTGAAGTTCTTGTACAGCTGCTTGTTATCCAGCCCTCATTAAGAGGACTGGCAAAATAAATGTTAGTGAATTTCTTCACTCCATGTGAAAAATAACTCAATGGATAATAAGAGAGTGTCTCAGTGTCTAATAGGACGTCATGTATAATAATGTCGCCTTTCCTTGTAGTAGTGCTATTTCTGAGTGTATTATGTAACGCTCCAATAACACTGCAATTATGGAAATCAGCGCTGAAGTTCACTTTTCTAGTATGAGATCCAGTTTCATCCCTGAGAAGGCGGAGACCACCTGCCAGCATCAATTAAGCGGATTCAGGGAACTGCACACCCGACGATGAACACAAAAAGATAATGCATGGAATGGTTGGATGTTTCATATTGATGAGCCAACTACTCTGTGGATCTGGCGAGGTAAGCATGATATAAGTGGATATTTGCTGATAAAATGTTAATACTAATAATTGTCCTTAATTAGCTCACTGTCAACGGTTTGTTTGCCTGTTCTGTTAACAGTGCTTATGTCTCACTCTGAATTTCATTTACATCTAGTTACTGATTACTGGAATGTGGCATTTAGGGTTAGAGACAGATTAGGAAATCCAGTCAGCAAATCTAGTCTAACTGAGCCAAGCCTGGGCCTATTATCAATTAGATATGTTATAACTAGGGCTCACACCAACCTACCGTAACCCCCCTTCCCGTCGTTCATTCGTTCGTTCAAAACATGGTTGGATACGCCACCGGAGCACCAAGAGAAATATTATACTTTTTTATCATCACTGTTTATTCTTACTACCTTAATTTATAACTCATCTCAAGTTAAAAAGTGAAAAAGGTGGCTACTCTACTGACCTGTGACGGCGGTTGAGGAAACAGAGGGGTAGGACTGTAGAGGAAGATAGCAGCATCGGTCTCCTTCTGACTCTCTCCCCCATGATCTCCGGTGTCCGTCATCCCGTGGTCTCCCATCACCACCAAGAGGGTGTCATTCTGCAGACGGTCAATGACAGACCTGGAGGAAAAGGATAAACAGGGTCAAAGTTCCTGCAATTGAAATCAATGATTTTGAAGAAGAACTTTCCAATTTTAATTATTAATTAAACATGAATTTTTAGCAGCGCTAAAATGGTGACTTGTGCATTCTGCAGTCACTGTTAGCAGTTTTACTCCTTAAAAAAAAACAACTTCGAGTACAATATCAGTGTTACTAAGTGACATGACATATCTACAACACTACAGGTGCACTATGACAGCACACGATGGCGAGTGCAGCTGGGGGATGCTGTGAAACAAGCTCGCAGCAGCTGTACTGTCGTCTGACCTGATGACTCCATCCATCTGGGTGAGCTTGTCGGCCATGGCCGGGTGGTCGGGACCAAACCTGTGACCGCAGTGATCCACTCCAAGGAAATGAGCGACTAGGACGTCCCAGTCATCCCCAACCACTGTCAAAACCAACAGCAAGTGAGAGATGGAGACATGTGAAGAGCAAGTACAACACAAGACGGGCACAGACGTACAGAATAGCAGTGGACCTAATTTTACAATTCTACTTTGCATACCATTAACAATGTGTCAATTGCTTATGGTCTTGCATAGCTCACCAGTAAAAGTACTGTTCTGCCAGGAGTTAGAAGTTTCTTTCTCACTGTAGCCAGCACATAATGCACGTTAAAATGTAAAAACGTACACTCTCATGGCACAATAAAACCCATAGTAAGTAAATACACACTAGTTGTGTAGAGGTGCTGGAGGATCCCGTTGTCCACAGTGTGCAGGTCCTTGACATTGAAAGAGGGGAAGGGCAGAGAGCGGTGGAACTTCTTAGGGAAAAGACTCTCCCACGTGTCATCGCCCATGAACACCACTCGCTTGCCTGTGAGGGGAAACACAAAATCAGACAACGGTATTAGTTTGGTCAAACACATTTTCACCTAGTTTTTTTAAACTGGGTTTGAAGGTTTGTAGGCATGATTAAGCGTGATGTAAGCGGGGGGGGATTACAGTGCGACTGTCTAGATGCTTATTTTTCACAAGTAGCATCGAATGTGAGATAACAGTGGGCCAACATCAACAACAAAAAAACAAAAAACTAAAGAACTCCTCTCGTTCACGCTTTTCAAGACTTTCAAATTCCAAAACGTTCAACTGTGAAAATTATGAAGTTCAAAGTCTTAAATTAAGTTCATCTTATTCAATATTGTGATAAAAATCTTTACTTACCCTCTCAGTTGCTAAACTTAACTGAGAGGAAGCCTCTTTTGCAGGAAGTCCCCAGTCACATTCGCACAGTTACACATTCACACCTGGAAGCTGCCTAGTACAACCACAGGCTGATCTGCTGGCCACTGAGCAGCTCCACTGGAGCAATTGGGGTTAAAGGGGCATGCTCAAGGGCACCTCAGTGGTGGTAAATGAGGGAGGGCAAGCACTGCTTGTTCACTTTTCCACACCCACATTTATCCTGCTGGTCCAGGGATAGAACCGGTCACAAGCTCGCTTCTTTAATGACAGTGAAGACGAGGTATATTCTTCTTTTCTTACTGATATCTTAAACCCTCCACTGTTCTGGGCAGTTCAGCTAAACAGTAGCCATTCAGCCGACGTTCAGGTGACGTTTTTCCTTCAGCTAATGGAAATACATGCCCTGATGTCCTTCACTGTGGTGTGGGTGAGACCTTCAACATGCTTTAAAGTTTAAACCTATAGAAAGCAGTGTAGCAGCAGTGTTGTACACTTTGACAGTCACTACTTCACCTCAGCTGTCTAATAATCATAATAATGAATGAGTGTCTTTTAGTGTACCCCCTGTGTAACTACTCACCCACTTGTCCAAACTGGTGGATGAGGTTGTCCTCCAAGATGGCGCTGGATGCAAAGTTATTACCTACATCCACGAAGGTAGGCAAGGAGCCAGTGGTGAAGCCTTTGATCCTCTGCATGGTGGTCGTAGGGGGGTCAGCACGAAAAGGGTACAGGCGGCTGTGGGAAGGCCTGAATGAGACAGTCTCCTCCATCACAGGCAGCTTGTTCTCGTAAGGTCGGGGCGCCGTGTTGTCGGGGTCAAACCGGGCGAAGTCAATCTTGAGGGCGTCGATGATGAGGAGGACAACCCTGCGGAAACGCGGCTGGGAGCGGCAGAAGTCCACCGGCTCCACTCCGGGCTGCAGCACGTCTCCGCAGGTGCTGGTCCTGTTCACTTCCAGCCTCACTAGCAGGAATCCACCCACGAACAGGTAGATGCCCACAAAGTACACCGCACACACCCAAAGGAGCAGGGACAGCACTGGGAGCCCCTTCATCCTACACACACAGTCCACAGCAGTACAGTTAACATTCAGGCACACCTGTTTCACACCAAGGTAAAAAATAAAAAGGACCAGCTATGGGCGACACCTGCTACAAGAGATGCCGGTAATGTGTAACTTGACAGAAACCTCAAGTAAGGTACACTTAAACCAATAAACACGACACGCGGCGTTTGGACGTGCCAGGTAATATTAACTAGCAAACATTAAGGGGTTAACGTTGGTAAGTTAACGCTGTTAGCCGAGGCTAGCTCGCCTCGCTCTTGTCACTGACCTTGTAGCAGTCGGGTTTTCGTCCTCTCTCGGCCGGAGGGCGGACGTTAATGTGTGCGTTAACAACACGGACACCGGTGTCTCAGGTGGGTCAGGTAAACAGAGAACGACGCGACACCACGCTCACCTTCATTGGGGCACTGTGCAACCCGGCAGGAAATATGGGGCGGACGTTAATCTATGTAACACCTTATATTGGAAGACTTTGCCCTGAAGTTAGACTCTCAGGCACACCTTGCGCTAACCTTTAGACAGTAAAACTGAGAATAAAATAGTTTTTCTTTCTAAATGGCCTAATCAATTTCGAAACTCATTAATTTGATCTAAAATGCAATAAAATACAATATCAACAAAAAATAACAGGCTCGCCTCAAGCTGTTCACGTTATTGTGTCCATATCGTCTGTAAGGCAAAGACGAGGACTCAAACAACCGCAACAACGGAGAGGCGAAAGAACCAAAACCTTAGTAGTGTGTGGATTATAATCTTGTGGAAGTAAAATCTAAAGCAGATCTCTTTTGTTAAATTAATAAACAATAAATAAGTACATTCTATGTAAAATCTGTACTATCTCCATTATGGCACCCTGATTATTATGCACTTTTACGTCTTCTCATATGCTGCCAAACCCTTGTCTGCAATTTTTTAATTAATGCTGTTAAATACATTTGATACTTTGGAACTCAAATAATGGTTTTAAATCATAATATGCTGAATTCTGGTGCTTTGCTTCTCCCGGTCATGTTCTTGTATCATCATAGCTCTATGGATTTAAAATCATAGTGGATTTTTCTTTTTTTTTTTTTTTTTTAATAGACACACAGACCTAGTAAACCAACTTTTATTTTATTTTATGGTAATGTAACATGGCTGAACCCAAACAAACAGTGACCCAAAACATGGATGTCAACTTTAATATCCATTTTCAAATCATACTGCCAATGTTTCTTCATCAACAGTCAAGGTCTAACAAACTTTACATTTGAAGTCCAGTAGTTTTTCATGAGTTGTTCCACCCCATCTTGTTCCAACATAACTGTATATTTAGAGAAGTACTTTACGGCATCCCATGCCACCACGTAATAAAACTACTCAAGTCACTACTCTGTGAAAGTTTCAAATGACACATATGTGCCAATTTCATTTTTGCATTATTTTTCATAAACCTTTAAGCATCAGTGAAGTCATTGAAACGACACGGTTGCTGTCTTCACAGAGAACCATGTAATTAAACAAAAATATTCCATAAGCCTTAAGAGGTAAATACACCACCACCAAACCTGACAAGAGTTATTTGGGCCAGCCTTGCAAAAGTAAAAAAAACTGGATGTTTCACTTAAAATCTCAATGTAGAGCAGTCAAATTCAAAAGCTTTGCATCCAATTCTATTAGGATTTATGCAATGATACACAACTTATTTTTGCATCAACTTGCCACAATGGCTGATAAATCAAATTCTCTTGTGTTTGTCTGCCAGAGTCGCTGGTATGCGAATATTTGGCTGAAGGCTGGCGTTAATTTCCCAATCGGACAATAATAATAATAATAATAATGACATAAACAATGGTCAGCGAAGACTAAAAATCCTCTTACAAAAAGGGGTGGTTTTCCCAGGACTCCAAGGCAAAACATCCCAGAAGTTTGTAAAGTTGTTCCTTCTGTCCTGCTAGTAGAAGGTTATGAGAACTTTGCTCAGCGATGCATTGGAGCCCCGATAACTGAAACATCATCTGCTTCTTCTGGTTCTGTGTCATTTTACTGCTTTGAGTTCATTCACTGAGTCCTCTTGCTATTGAGATGGTGCTTATTGGTTCACAAGCTCTTCGCTCTTCTTCTCCACCACTCCTGGTGCCACATTTGGGCTCGTCTTTGCCAACGTGCCGTAAATGGCCATAGCCTGTGAGTGCAGGAAAACAAAGTGAGAGCCATTATTGTCATGACTGAAGACATCCAAAGGAACAAAGATACTCCATCTGGTCGCAACTAACATCTAAATTCAAGAAGAACTTATAAAAAGCAAGCATGCTCTAAAAATAAATACAGAAAATGATGCATGTATACATACCTGCGTGACCATTCCGCTAATGTCACCAGTATTAGAGGGCAGGAGGATGGTGTTTGACTCTTTGGCGAGGTTGGAGAAAGCAGACACGTACTGTTCGGCCACGCTTAGCGAGGCCGCTGCACTTCCATTCTGTACAATGCACAATAAAAAAAATTCAGTAATTTTTAAATGAACTCTGATGAATAAGACTGTGGTCAAGGTTATGTCATTAAAAACTACTACTTCACCTGCTCAGTCAGAGCCTCTGACAGCATTTGAATAGCCTTAGCTTTTGCCTCTGCTAAGGCTAAGACCGCCTGGGCCTCACCTGAAGGGAACACAGTAATCGATTAGTGATTGATTGATGATATATAACTTGTGTTACTACAGAGATTAAACAGCTAAACCTTGTCTCTGAGTTCACCCACCAGCCGCTTTATTGATCTGCTCTGCCTTTTCACCCTCCGAGGCCAGAATCTGGGCTCGTTTGCGACCCTCAGCGACATTAATGGCCGCCTCCCTCGACCCTTCGGACTCCAGCACTGTGGCTCTCTTCTTGCGTTCGGCTTCCACCTGCACAGGGGGAACAAAAATGCATGTTAAAACCCTTTTTGTAATTAAGACGTCTCTCTTACATTATTTACTAAAGGCGTATGATGAGTTTACAACCCTTTATTAACTGGCATGAGAGAAAACTTAGCTGTCCATTGTTTATCAAACCAGCAATATATTCATTCTGTATGCCCCACCTGCATCTGCATTGACTCTTTGACACGAGGAGGAACATGTATATCCTTGATTTCGTAACGGAGGCAACGGATTCCCCACTCGTCTGATGCTTGGTTGATGGAGTGGACCATGTTGGCATTGAGGGACTCCCTTTCCTTAAAAGTAAAAAAAAAAAAAAAAAAATAAGAGAAACACAAATTTAAACATATGTGAAATAACCTTTTAATTACAAGTCTACTGAGTGTGAGACACAGCACTAGTCTGTCTTTACCCTGAACACTTTGTCCAGCGTGAGTTTGCCAAGTTCTGAACGCATGGTGGTCTGCGCCAGCTGTGTGACGGCATATTCTGGATCCTCAACACCGTAGCTGGCCTGGGAACAAGCAGAATTGTTTATTTATATCAATTGATCTGAGTATAACAACACAAAGAAGCACACAATCACTCCAGCATTTTGAAGCATTTCTGATTCTTACCTTAAAAGGGTCAAGGATCCTCAAGTAAAGCACGCCATCAATCTGTAGTGTTACATTGTCTGTTAAAACAAAGCACATTTATTTTAATTATACCGTATGTCTGTTAAATTATGTCACACAAGCTTGACTGTACATTAATCATCAGTTTGTGGATCTCTCACCTAGAGATACAGCAGACTGCTCTGGGACGTCAATGACAATCTCTTTGAGACTTTGCACATACCGAACTCGGTCAAGTATGGGTATGAGGAAGTTCAAACCCTAAAAGAGAGGGGGGTTATTGAGCTTTTGAAATGTCCTACTGTAATATTTGACACTAGCGCTCTTTAATGAGGACACTTTTAGGGGGAAAAAAGGGGTGGTACCGGCTCTAAGATCCGGTGGAAGCGGCCCATTCTCTCCACCACCCAGGCTTCCTGTTGGGGCACAAACAGGACCACGGTGTTCATGGGCAGGCTGGATGCCCATCGCTGCTGGGCTGGTGTAACCCACAACCTCGGCACGGTCCGCTGGCTTTGCTACAGAGACACACGGTTATGCCATCAGTATAACTTGATGAATTAATTTACTATTTTCAAATCTATCCTTTAAAGAGGTGGTAGACACTCCCTCAAAAACACCAGAGGAAAAACACTCTGAGCTAGTGATCTTCAAATCTCGTTCTTTAAAATGAACTAATCTTATTTGAGTTATTTTGTTCATTTGAACTAGGCTGGTTATTGAGCGCAGTTCTCAAACACAAAACGCTGAAATATGTTGTCAATAACCTGCCAGGCTGTTCACCAGTCGAGATCTGTGAAACAACAGCACGGCTCTGTTGATAAATAAAAAGTTATGTTACGTTCTCTGGCGGACCCGGATCAGCTGTTAGCTGTCAACACACCACAGGGCTGATGTTAAGGTTGCTATTTGGCTATGTTTTAATGACGTTTGTTTTGGAAAGGAGACGACCTTGGAGGTAATTCGGCTCCAGGTAGAATCCTGTCAGGGCTCTGAAGTGGAGCGGACCCAGAACAACTCTCATCGGCTGTTAGCTGTAAACACTAGCAGGACTAAAGTTACGGTACGACTGTGTTAAAACTAAAGCACAACATCACTCTGCTGTAATAACATTATGCGTTATTAACTGTCACATAAATAACAAAATAGATATATAATGTCAGTCCAGCTGTTACCTGACAACCGACTTGCCTCTCATTCTCCGGCGCTGGCAGTAACTCAGCCTGCCGAATGAACGAAAGCCTGAGGACCCATGTGAGCGGTGAACGAATAGTTCATCCCTGTTCCACAGTAGCCGAGCTGTCACGTGACAAATGAACGACTCAAACCCAGAGACCCACAGTTGAGAGTCATGAACTTATCAATACGGTTTGCTGCTCTGATGGAGCCCATGCGGCTGCCATGTGACGAGTGATTGTAAGAGTCCAAGACTATTCACGCATGCCTGAAAATGAACAAATTACTCACTCAGACTACCCGTTCCTCCTGAGTCATATACAAGATTAGGTCAAATGAACGAAACGTTCTTTGAACGACGCAACACTACTCTGAGATGCAGCACACATTGACAAGACTCTGCCTCTCCTCTCCCTTCCAAACACTAGCTACCCTCCAGGCAGTCAATGGACATAAAGTTGTTACTGTGATGTAGAGACAGAGCTCAGTTAAAACTTTATGGATGAAAGATGAGAAAATGAAAATGAGCAAAATATGACCACTTTAAACAGGCTATTCAAAGCCAAGTCCTGGCTGAAAAGATTGTCACTTTTATATCATTAAAGAAGGCTATTCTTTTCATTGTTCTTTTTTGATTCCTTGATTAATCGTTTAGTCTTTAGAAAATGATAAAAACAGTTTAAAATGCCCTTGTCAAGAGCCAATTCTGGAAATCTTCAAATGGCAATGGACTTAAGCGTAATCACTCCAATTCTAAAATAAATAAAACCCAACCTAAATAGAGAAATAAAAAAATCTCAACCTGAGTCTTAACAACTGCTCTGGGAGGTATAAACTACACACAAAAAAACATTGAAATAAATAAATATCAATTCAGAACCACTTATTATTTTCCTTCTGTGCACTTTTCTTATTCTTGGTTAAGCTCCATGCATTTCCTTCCTTTAAAATACAATACGTTATGTAAGTACGTTATGCATGTTTCCATGCATATTTATATAATAGGTAAACAGTGTAACGTTAAAGGTTTAACATGGGCTAATTGTACATTTTCGACCCAGAATGAATTAACATGTCAGTCAGTGGTCAGCTATAAAAAAAAAGGTGCTTCCCTTGTTAACTTAGTACGCACTCAGTAATATTTCTATCAGGATAGAGTGAAATTTCGTGAATTATTAACACACTGAATGACACCAAACGGCTTTGGAAGAACTGTAAGCACGAGCTAACAAGCCGGAAATTATTATAACGCTCCCATTTACCTGCAGGAGGGCCCCGCCGGTCCTACACAGTGTCCGTAACATCATTTCAACAAAGCAAAGTGATTGTATAAAGAAGATTCAGCTTCGTAAAGTGGTTTGTAACTAAACTCAGCACTCATGTGTATGACCCTTGCCGATCTGGAAATGAAAGTTACATCATTGGTGCAACGGTGTAAAAACTCCGCCAGTGCGGGCAACGAGGACCAAATGGCTATGGTTCCGCTATTACGTTAATGATATCTACACGACTACTACTACTACTACCAATAATAGTAATGATAATATTAATACTACCATTACTATTACTACTACTAATAATAATACACTTTTTTTCTTCATAATTTCCACCCTTGTTGGACACTAACCCTTTTTGTAGCAAGTAGATATTCTAAAGCCAAAACATTAAATGCAAAGCCTCATTTCTTTGTTAGGTCAAACCTTAAAAAGCCCCATATTTGATGGGAAGGGAAAGGAGTTAAATAAAACTGATAATCTGTGTAACAGTGGCATAGTGTTACTAAAAATAGATTACTACATACCTCAAAAACTCGGATTTAGGCAAAGACGGCTAACAGCAGTATATGTGAATCTTTAGCACATATAACTTTGAATTCGCTCTGTTATTCAGGTTGTTGTCTTTTTTATCCATTTCTTCCATAAATGATTCAATCATCATCAGTTTTAGGATCCAATGTAATGACTCTCTAAACACACAGGGTGGTGATGTTGGTTTTGTTTCAGCTCTTAAGACCTTGCTCAGATTTACTCTATTCTAACTTCTGTTGTTTGGAGTCTTTTGGTTTATGTCATGGCTTTTCAAAACTCACACTTTTGAATGGGGCATATATATGAGTCAATAAACAGTATGTTGTCAAATGGGAAGGAGGTGTTTTTCTGTTGATTAGCGGATGGGCTGCTTTTCTTTAAGGCTCTTTGAGATGAAGGGGTTGATAAACCTGACCTGACTTGCCACTGCTGCTAAAGCATCTAATCAAAAACACTGACAAAAGCTTAAACTTAAAATAATCAAACCAAAGAAAAGGCTACAGTAATGCTGCAGATAAAATACATGGAGATAGTGCATTGATAAAACTGAGAGTAAGCAGAACCATGATCTGAGAAATTGAGAAAAGAATTGAGAAACTAAGAAATCACAGGTGTGACACATGTTGCAGATACATTAGGAGAAGTCAAAAACCCGTAATTGTAGTCACAATTCACATTCTAAGTAAAAAATAATTTAATAATAAATAACAGCTATCTTGTTTTAAAGACACGAAATAGCTAAAATTTCACTCTTACAAAAAAGTTACACGTATTTGGTCCGTTTAGAATCCGTGTGCGTCACCTGTTTCTTCCTCCAACCTGTCCCTCTCAGCGATTGGTCGGATTTCATTAAGCGGTTACCCCCTTCAGCGCCGTACTGTATTCTCATTGGACATATCGGACGCCAGTAACAGGTGCTGCTCTACCCCGCCTTCCCCTGTCTGTGCCCTCAGGTTGTTCGTCGGTCAGAAAACCTGTGATGAGAGTTTTAACAATGGCGTGGCCGTGGCGGGGGGCTGCCGCTCTCTCCCCAAGTCCGGCATCACAAAACCACCTATAAACATCGACTTGCAGCTTGTCAGCGGTTTGAAAAGTAATTTTATGGAGGTACAATGATACCGGACAGAGTAAATCTCCGCTGAGAGGCTACCCGACAAACTGTGTGAAACTACTGGAGTGTGGCTGGAAGCGCTTTGCCATGTCGTTACTGTGTGTTAGGGGTAAGTTTTAGCTTTGTTTTTATTTCTTTATGCGGTCAGAAACGTTTTTACAACGTGTTAGTTACACGTAAAACCCGAGTTTGTTGAATTCCAGTGTCAGAAAAGGTTTTGATATATAGATTGAGAAAATGAAAGGTTTTTGATTTGAACTTGAAGGATAAATAAATCACATGTACAGCAATGTTAATGGAACTAATGGGTTAGTGTATCTCTAATATTTGCTAATTTAGTTTGGCAGATATTTCTAATGAATATATAATAAGGATAAAAGTTTTTTCATGTATTATGTATTGTATTTCAATAAAACCAGTAATAGTAGTAGTACCCTAAAATGACTGAGCTTTTACTATCCCCTCAATGTTATCCTCCCAACACTAGCAGTGTACATTTGTATCATTCAGGGGTCCCTATTGGGGAAAATTTATTTATTTTATTATATGGATAACTGTTATCTTCACATTTTCAAACAGAAATACAAATAAAACAGATAAAGTGATACATTCAAAAAACCTGTAGGTGTCCAAATGATAATAGCAATATATTAATAATATAAAACAATGTTAAAGTCTTTACATGGACACATTTCTGGGCTAAGACCAGGCTAAAGCGAGCCAGCCTGGGGTGGAGGACAATCCTCGCTTGCTCTAGCATAGTATACAGCAGCAAAGCACATTATGCAATGTTGTATTTTGTGACAACAGCACTAATTTGCTCCAGAGCTGCCAGAACGGGGGGAAATGAGACAGAAAATGATGTTGCAGAGCTGCATGGGTGACTCCATCATTGCAGATGTAGCCTACATGTGTGCATACATGTGTGGTTAAAAGAAAAGAAACCCACCAAACTAATTGTAATAAATATTTTTTATATAAAATTTGGCATGTTATTAAATAGTATAAATTTTATTTGGCTTATGTTATCAAAGGGTGGTTTGGTGGTGCAGTTCTCCCCATGTCCACGTGGCTTCTATCCAATCCAGGGTGTACCCCACCTTTCGCCCGAATTGGTTGACGATGGATGGATATGATTGTATGAGTATAAATCACAGAATGAATTCCTTGCGTAGTTACCTGAAGTGGGCAACAAATATCCATCCAGTTGTGTTCTCTGTGATAAATGGAGACATCACATTGAAATGGTGATGCCCTTTGTAAGGGTTTCAAAGACTGATACCCTGACAGCAGAACTTTCAGGCCTCATTTCAAATGAATACGTTGTGTGCCCATTTATCAAAGAACGGCCATTATTATAAACATCATAACAGTGTATTTATACCTGTCGGTCCTATCTCTCATCTATAGTACCCTTTACTGTGGTAGTTTTATTACCTTGGCTGTCAAATTGATGATATCCTTTTTGGAAATGATGCATGAAATATCATCGAGCATTCTTCATAAAGTGAAGTTTTGTTCGTTAGAGGACTTGAGGTCGTAGTGGACTTCAAGTTTAAACTGCTGCTAAACCTTTAGTAGGATTTGCTACTTTCTTTTGTCTCAAAGCAGGAAGTATATTCCTCTAGTTGTTTCTCTTCCCGTCACAAAACTTCCGTCTTCCCTGAAACAACAAAGCCAGCATCCGTACAGTTGACAAAGAAGAAGGAGGTGAACATATGGAAGAAAAAACAATATGTTTTAGCATGTCATTTTTATTGTATTTTTATTGCTTATATGATTTTACCTGCAGGTGCTAGCCACAGACCAGGCACAAGTCTGTTTTATGTTGAGAATAAATTATACACTTGCTGAAATATCCTGAACATTTCTGAAAGTTATTATTGTTGGGGTGTTAAAAGCTCCAAATTGTGGCTATTTCACGTATGAGTGAATTACTTACCGTATTCTATCCCACCATCGTTTGAATTAGAATAGTTTCCCGAGGTGTCAGACTTCATATCTCATCACAGACAGGTAATCCTGTTCAAACATCCTCCAGATACCTCCACTCGTATGTGTTTACACAGTCAAGCAAACACCTTCTGTTGTGATCGGAAGTTTCTTTAATGCCTTTGCAAATCTTATAGAAGTCACTGTCACATATATGGTAAGATAGACATGCAGGGCAGGAATCCGTTGAAGTAGCATAATCCTAAAATGATCTTGCTTGTGCGTCTGTCTGCACATGCCTGTCTGTGTTTCTGATAGTTACTGGTTAAGTCAGAGAGACAGTTATCTAGAAGTAAGGTGGCTAATAGATTCACTCTTTAGGTACATAGGTACATCTGTTCAATTGCTTAACACAATTAGCCAATCACATGGCAGCAAATCAATGCATTTAGGCATGTAGACGTGGTCAAAACAACTTGCTGAAGTTCAAACTGAGCATCAGAATGGAGAAGAAAGGGGGTTTAAGTGACTTTGAATGTGGCATGGTTGTTGGTGCCAGACAGGCTGGTCTGGGTATTTCAGAAACTGCTGATCTACTGGGATTTTCAAGCACAACCATCTCTAGGGTTTACAGAGAATGGTCCGAAAAATAAAAAAGATCCAGTGAGAAGCAGTGGTGTGGACAAAAATGCCTTGTTGATGTCAGAGGAGAATGGACAGACTTCGAGATGACAGAAAGGCAACAGTAACTCAAATAACCACTCGTTACAACCAAGGTGTGCAGAATACCATCTCTGAACGCACAACATGTCGACCTTGAAGCAGAAGAAGTCCACACCGGGTGCCACTCGTGTTGGCTAAGAACAGGAAACTGAGGCTACAATCCACACAGGCTCACCAAAATTGGATAATAGAAGATTGAAAAAATGTTGCTGGTCTGATGAGTCTTGATTTCAGCTGCGACATTCAGATGGTAGGGTCAGAATTTGGCTTAAACAACATGACAGCATGGATCCATCCTGCCTTACATCAACGGTTCAGGCTGGAGGTGGTGTAATGGTGTTGGGGATTTGTTCATGGCACACTTTGGGCCCTGTGGTACCAACTGAGCATCGTTTAAATGCGACAGCCTACTTGAGTATTGTTGCTGACCATGTCCATCCCTTTATGACCACAGTATACCATCTTCTGATGGCTACTTCCCGCAGGATAATGCACCATGTAACTCAAATCATCTCAAACTGGTTTCGTGAACATGACAATGAGTTCACTTTACTCCAGTGGCCTCCACAGTCATCGGTATTCAATCTAATAGAGCACTTGTGGGATGTGGTGGAACGAGAGATTCGCATCATGAATGTGCAGCTGACAGATCTGCAGCAACTGCGTGATGCTATCATGTCAACATGGACCAAAGTCTGAGGAATGTTTTCAACACCTTGTAAGTTACGATGAAGTTTGCAAGTCATGTTCACAATTAAGTGGCATACTGCTACTCAGGATCCTTTTATCCAATATTAGTATTTTGACACCATTAACTATATAAAAGAAGTGAACTTATTCTCTTATCACCCATTGTTATTTGGACTAACGATTGGAAGGTGCATCTTTAATTCCTGACTGTGATAGTAATTGGGATGCTAACTTTGGCTGGCAAAAACAGACTTAAAACTAAATGTAACACTTAAAGTGTCTTTTTGTACAACCAAATGCTAAACACTATGACATTTTAGGTGACCAAACTGCTACAATTAACTGCCATGAATTTAAAACAGACTGTGCAAGGGTCAGACAAGCCACGACCCAAAAACCCAAAAACAAGTTCAAGGCTAGTTTAATGTACACAGTGCGATTTGCCTCTATCCTAATTGACTATGTCTATGTGGTAGAGACTTGTCAGTCACAAGGTAGCCACGCCCTAAAGCATACCCTGCTTTATTGTTTATTTTACTCTACAACTATAATTTACGAAGTGAACATCATGCTGTTTTGGAGAAGACTTGAAACTAGTGATTGAGGCCATCAACTGATTAGGAAATGGTCACTGAGGTAGAAATAAATCAAGTTAGAAGTAGGGTCCAATGCAATTGGACTACTTTTTGCAACAAGCGGAGTTGCCCACTGCTGGGCTGCATTAGAAATAATGCAGGTTGAGGGCAATTAAGCATTGGCTTTACTTTTTCAGACTTGGAGGTTCATGCTTGTTTGCACCTCCAGGTTTTCTTTTTTCCCAACATTGCATCATGCTGCTCTGATTTAGTTACTACAAAACAAACTTGATTAGGCTAATCAGTCAACTGCTGAGCTGAATCAGACAGATCCTGACGTTTTTCCATGAAGCTTATTACACCTAATGTTAAATTTCATAAAAATTTTATAATTTCTTGTGACGTTAGAGAAAGCGCTCTTTATTTGAGGCTGAAACTGTCCCGGTGGTGCTCGCGAGCTGACGAAGTTGAATTGTCTTTAACTTTTTGTACGTGACGCGCAGCACAAATCGTTGGAAGAGAGACCGATCCTCGCTATTTGTGAGTTTCTAAATAATAATTCTAAATAATCTTAATAATCTAAATAATTATCAGGACATCCACAGGAGGGAATTCGAATGGCAGAGCATCCCTGCAAAACTGGATGTAGGCTTATCTGGTAAAGTTATGTAGCCTGTAATTTTAATTTAAGTTAAATAGGCTACACTGTGTAGCGCACAGAAGCCGTTGCCATGGTTACTGCCGTTAACTCGCGGAGGGCTGTCTTGTGTGTGTGTTTGTGTTCTCCCTCACGCTGACGAAGCCTCGCTCCACTGCTTGTTTGGGTGGGTGATTTGCAGGCTGATCAACATCCCACCCCTCCTGTGACCCATAGTTTAGACTGTTTCAAAATAATAATAATTTAAAAAACTACGTTAACGAGCAAAATTATTATTATTGGCTGCATTAATTAATTAATGCGTTAATGGGTTAAAGCATTAACATGCCCAGCCCTAATTCACATATATCAGCCCCTCCATACATGGCACAAAGATAACTACAGATATTCCGTTAAGGATGGGCAATTTTAGATCATCCTGACATCACCATTTCATAAAAAGAAACTACTGACACTGTGATCATTGTTGCCTTGCAGCAGAAAACCCAAAAGCTTTTGGATGTGTGTGGAACATAAAATCCAAAAGACAAT